TAATTCCAAGAGTACCATCTACACCTCTGTAAAATGAAATATTCCCACATACTTAATATTCAAAGACATTATCTACTTGACAAGATAGTAAAATATCCCACTTATCTGTTCTGGGGCTAATTTGTCAAATTTTAACAATTTTATTAGTCCCTGGCAAGGCCTTTAAAACTTGGCAAAGAATATTAATAAGTCATTAATGGTTAATTGCATGTCAGCTTTGAGGTCAAGGAGTTTGAATGATTTTTTAGTCATTGGAATTAAAATATCACTCTGACAAGAGTCTATAGTGCATGTTTCTCTACCTCCCTCCCCAATCCTTAACCCTCACCTATGAAAACATAAACATAGAAACACGAACTTAATTATCTTTTATAAGTATGTGAGAGGGTCATGGTAATGTGCATTCAGGGAAGGAATTGTGATAAAGGTGTATGTCCTCAAAGGAAGATAGATTAACTTCTCAACCTGTGCAGCTTAACTTGATAACTGAGGGTCAACCAGAGACGTTGTCAGCTATGAAACCTGCACTATATAAACCTATCTGCTGTGCTCCTTGTGTCTGACCATAAAATTAATTTAAACTAAGGGGCTAGGATTAATAAGACAAATAAAAATAACTAAGTAGGGGATGGCAAGATGGCAGTCAGTAGAATGCATATAGTGTAACCATGAGGACTGAGTTTGAACCCCAACGTTCACCTAAAACCAAGAATAGCATCATGGGTCTGTAGCCCCAGTACTGGGAAGGGAGACCAAAGAAGCCTTGGGACTTGCTAGGTTTCAATCTTACCTACTTGACCTGAGAGAGACCCTATCTCCAAAACTAAGGTGAAGAGTGACTGACAAAACACCCAGTCCTCTTCTGACCTTTATGAGCAAATAGACACGTGTGGGTGTAATGGGGAATATGGGGATTTGCAAGATCTTTAAGTTTTAAGAAAAAGATAGTCCAGCAAATCATGAAACATTACTTAACATAATTATGGAAGTTCCTATAGTCTTTTTCACTCATTCACATGTTAGGGGAAATTGCAGTTTCCTTGTCTTTAGGTAGTATTGCTTTTTTGTTGTAGATACATGTAAATGAAACCCCAAAGGTTTATTTGTTTCTTTTCTTCCCGAAAAAAAAAACAAGTTGCTTTGGGGAACATTATAACTCCTGGGGATCCTAGAACTTGAGTTAGGAGTCCATCAGTCTGCATTGCCTGTTTCCCTTGGTCGTGGAGCACATGAATTGTTTCCAAGGGAAGCATTCCATAATCTGTATGCAAAGTAGTGTTTTTACATAGCTGAATGTCAGTTCCAAATGTAAAGCTGCCTGTTGCCTCAAGTGTGAAATCCATTCTCATTTGCATTTATGTTCCTTTGCAACTAGGGATGCTGGAGTTTCTGGCCTGGGCTATGGAGATGATGTGACAGTGGTGAGGAGTCCTAATCCTTGTGAACACTTTCCACTTCACTGACAAAGACAACGGGGGTTCATGGGGAACCTGTCTTGACCCAAGCAGTCAGTCTATAGGAGGCAAGGAAATACAAGTATTTTGATGTCTTTATGGTATTTTACCGTCTTCTAATTTGTAAATTTTCCAATATGCTGTGAGCATATATATGTTTGTAGAGAGTCCATGATTCACATTATGTGGTTTCTTTTATCATTAAAATTCAAATATGAGAGATCAGATGCCAGGATATTTTTAGATTCCTTTGTTTGTGGAAGGAAGATCTGCTCAGAAATTAAGATCAACATTTAGGATGTTTGTCTTGGTTAATTTCTATCGTGGGATCTATGGTCTCAGTTGATGGTACCTGACCTGATGATTTCAAGAGCCTTGCCATTTTCCTGAATGCATTTTATTTTGAACTTTGGAGGTTGATCTCATTGAGGATAAATAGCTTGGCCACGTTTGCCTACTCATGAAACCCACTTTTTATCTGGAGTCCACACTTGCATCACTGTTAATCTTCCCACTGCTTTTGGCTGCTGCTCCTTTGAACTGCTTTTTTTAACCCTGATGGTTAATGGAGAGAAACTACTATCTCCCTAGCTAGAAACAGACCTCCCATTTAGTGAAAGTGCTGAAGCACCTGTCTGCATTCTACATTCTAAAGCTATTGTTTATACAAGCTGCATAGGGCATACAAAGAACTGTATCTGATATAAGATAGCAAAAAGTAATAACTCTAATGTAGGATCAAAAAAGCATTATAAATAATAGTCTTTTCACGGGTAACTTCTTTGACCATAATGTTAAACTGGACTGTATTTCTATTAGTGTGTCATATATAGCCCTCAATGTAACTTCATGAAGCAATGATTGTGTTATTTCTCAAGATGCCATAGATAAACTAGCCAGTTGTGTGGATCTAGTCTTAAATTAGCTGGGTTCTTTCATATTTCTGTGGCCACCTGCCAGGTCATCTGGAGCTGGCAAGTCTAAGGTGATCTTTTGAAGCCTAAGGTCAGAACTGGTACATCCCCTCTACTGCTGCTGTCTACTGGCCAGCACAAGTTGACAGACAGCCCAGATTCCATGAAGAGGAAAATAAGCTGCAGTACTTCAGAAAGGAGTTAAAATTTACTCTGCAGAAGGAGGAAATACAGACCTGGTAGAGGATCTGGGCCAGCATTGTAACCAGTCTACCCCTATTGCCTTCCTAAGTCATTATGGGCTGTACTGAGACCCTCCATCCTCTACTCCCACATATTAGATTGTGCCGACTCTCTATGATCCAAATGACATGCGATATTTTAAATGTTGCCTCTCTGTGATCTAACAACTTCATATTGCTAATTTTCACTTGTTACAACATTTCTATATTTGGATCAATAAAGGTTTAGTGGCTTTTTAAAATAGCATGTCCTGAAATTGTTTTTTCTCATTTCTCTCATAGATATGTGCTTATGTTTATTTATATATGAATGCTTGTATTCATATGTATATATGCATATACATTAGTATTATGTTTAATCATTTGCTTCTGCCAGAATGCCAATGCTTTTGTTACTTTTGATGCTCTGATGGACTCCTTTGTTGTTGCTGCTGATTACTCTAAAAATGACTGCTCAGAGGAGATGGCACCTTTTTCACTGGGACTAACTACCTGTTCTATACAAGAGAAATCTAGGTGAGAATGTTAAGAAACACATTTATGCCTCCTTCCATGTGGTCACTCTGATAGAAAGTCCATGGGAATCACAAAATATGGTCCATAATTTAGCACCTGGAGTGGTTGAGTTGATAATTCTCCATCAGCTGCAGAGCTGTCATTTCCATTAATACTTTAATGAATAGCACCGATCCTTATTAATGTGCAGAACACAGATGTATCGTATCCTCTGACCAGCAAGCTGTTGCATGATTGCAAAGATGCTGGGGTGTATGGTGAGCTGTGACCTGCCCATTCTTAGTTCATAAATCTAGACACAGAATTCACTTTGGGTCTTGTATTAAGACGAGATGAGAGGAAACATAAACCATGTTTGGTAAAGTCGGTGGCATCCCTGTTTTTCTAGTTACCCATGGTTTATTAATGTTGTGTGTTATTTTCAGCAGTACTTATATCAGAGATCATGAGGGGCCCTTAAAGACATGCTGATGCCTCTTGGGTAGTTTCAGAAACAAATCCACTTTATGAATAATTCTGCCTATATATCTTATATCTTCAGGACTCCTTCCTATTGGGTTTATTTGTTGTATGTACATTTGCATGATATGCCCTTTGAGAATTGTTGCTTTTCCTGTCCTTTAAGTCAGAATCACACATTCTAAGGTAGCCAAATTCACAGCCAAGAAAAGAGAGGTCAATTGTAGTGAAGAGCATGACATAGCAACGCATAAAGTTCAAAGAGCTAATGCAACCATGCCAAAATCTGCTGTCTCTTTCTTTGTTAGACAGGCTTATTGCTGATTGAGGATTCCAAGTTAATTATTTGGATTGAAATTTAATGATACAGATACAGGGGATGTACACAGTGCTATCCAGCTGGTGCATATTTTGCATGTATGTAATACGTCTCCTTACAACAGAAGTTGTATTTTAGAATTGGTAAAGTACAAGACCTTTTACTTCATACCACTTTACCTCCCAAGGATTTTAGCAAACAAGTTCTTGCGGTCAAGTTTTACTCGTTGTTTACCCCCATCTTGAGTGAAATTAAGGAAAAAGTTGCAGTTATCTTTTACTTTCTATTTCAAATTTGGGTAGAAAAGTACATATCAAGGCTTGCCTGGAGTGTGCGTAGTTTTATCCCCATGTTTTTGGAGCAGTGTCAGTGGTGTTCTTTTAGAAGTGCACCTGGTTAGTTCATTGTCAGTGCTGTCGAGTAGTCTCTGAGCAGAAGGTCATGTACCTGCAATATATATATGAACTTGTCCCTTTAATAAACCATGAAACTGTAGTTTACTATGTTCCAAGGACCATGAATAAACACACTGTACAGTTCCTGCATATCAAGCGCAACTGCTTACTGATCATAGCACACGGCAGTCTCCCTTGGAAATCTGTTGAAGATGCCATCCAGAGCAAGTCTTTAAGCTCTTTGCTTGATGCAGAGTGCCTTCCTCCCGTGGCTTTGAGTAGGATGCCCCAGAAACCTCTTCCTAGGGCCTCTCATAATTTGGCAGCTAGCTACTATAGCACCTCCTGGAGTACTTTTCAGTTTGTGGCTGATATAAATAGCACTGCTTGCAACATTCATTTATATACATTTTGTAAGTGTGCTGTGCATGTGTTAGGTATATGTCTAATTGTGAAATTCCTCCCTTATATGCCTTACAGACATTTACAACTGTTAAGATGCCAAGAAAAGGCTTGCCATAGGACTTCAGAAACATACACTCTTATTAGCAAGACTTCCTTGGTCTTACTCTTGATACTATCGATTTTCATGTTAGTCAGTCCAGGTATGTGAATGATTATAAACAAATTTATTGTGATTTTTAGTTTTCCTGTGTCTTAGTTAGTTTTCTATTGCTGTGGTAAAGCACTATTACCAAAAGTGAACTGGAAAGAAAAGTATTTATTTAAGCTTATGGTTCCTGACTTGCATTCATGGCTGAGGGAAGTCAGGACAGGATTTCAAGGCAGGAACCTGAAACAGAGAATCATGGATTAGTCCTGGTTACTTGATTACTTCTCATGAATTGCTCCATCTGGACCACCAGCCTAGGAGTGGCCCAGCCCACAGTGAGTTGGGTCCTCCTAGATCAATTATTAGCAAGAAAGGGCTCTGAAGGCTAATCTGCTAGGGCTTTTTCCCATCTGAAGTTTCCTTTTCTCAAATAACACTGGCTTGTGTCAAGATGACACAAGCAATTAGGTGTCCAGAAGGACACTTCTCTGGTTAATAATAGTGTTGACTTTACCTTGTTGTTTAGATATTTTAATTCCTATTAAATTGGACTCATTTTTGAGGAAGGTTGTGTGACTTTTAGTGCTGGTCTCTGACTGCTCTTCCTATGTTCCAGCTATGGTCCTTTGTGTGATGTGCATGGTGAAGATAGCTTCCATACCATCTCGACACACCTTTCCACTTGGTGGATAATACCAGCTGATAAACAGAGGTTCATAGTTACAATATGATCTAATGTATCAAATTTTGTTTTTATTTTGTTTAACGTTTTTAATCTCTATTGAAAATTTTTGTTACGTTGTTTTTCTAGAAGTCTAATTGCCTCATATTTCACATTTAAATTTATGAGCTAGGAATATATACAGAGGATAACAAGCCTTCAATAAGAGAGCTTATAACAGGAATTCAAATGTGGTTTTATAATCAATATAATATACCATATTACTAGGGAAATTGAACAAAATTATAAGATCGTATTAATAGATGCATAAAAATGTGATAAAATTCAATATTCATTATAACACCATGCATTTTAAAACACATATACTCTTTTTACAATCTAAAAATAGAAGTTAAGCTGATATTTATGGATGAACTTCACAAAATTTAAGATGAATTTTTAAAAAGCTGTTGGGGGGAATAAAATGATTTTTAAAGCTAATCTATAGACATATATGACAAAATGAAGGGATCATCCCTTCAGGTCAGGAGCACAGGGCAAGGATCCTGCTACTTTTCCCCACCCCACATTGTCCTAGAGGTCCCTTCAGTTCAGTACGTCACAAAGAAGTTTCATTGGAAAGGAAGTTATAAAACTGCCACTGCCACTGTTCCTTTTAATCTCTAAGAAATTTAAGAGGTTCAATAATCTGGTAACTTGATACATAACTTTAACAAGGACATTCGGCATCCTATCAGTCCATAGAAAAGATATCAGAAACCAAAGAAAATGATTTTTTAAAGATAGGTACTCACAGTCATCTAGGGAATACTCAATATCAAGAAATAAATTAAAAGACTGAAGAGATGACTCTGTCCATAAAGTTCTGGTCATGCAAGCATGAGGCCCTCCCTGAGTTCAGATCCTCCATAGTCACTAAAAGCTATGTATAGGAGACAGGTATGTTTATAACACTAACACCATGAAGGCAGATACAAAATCATTCCTGGGTCTTGCTGGCCATCTGCCTAGCTAAATCAGGAATCTCCACATCCATTGAGAGATCCAATTTAAATAATAAGGCAAATGTTGATTATAGTCCATATATGTGTACATATTCACCATATTCACTCTCTACCCCAATGCAGACCTGTTCACAAATATGAGTAAACACACACACACACACACACACACACACACACACACACTAACTTAGATACAAGATGTATAATGCCACTAGGTAAAAAGTACAAGAAGCTAAATATATGGAAGCATATTCACAGCTCTTGGAAAGTATGATCCAAAGTGACTTATAGATCTAACAAACATAACTAAAGACCTGCAGATTTTGAAACCATAAAGCTAGTTGTTAATGTACTAAAAGAGAAAATATTGAAGAAAAGCTAGGACAGTCTTGAAGGGAGAAAACTGAATGGCAGATCTTTCACTCTGACAGAGAGCTGTAACATTAAGCTATTATGTTATTGGACCAAGCAGAGCCAGACAGACTACTGAATACAACAATAACAATTATAATAATACTAACTCAGAAAATTGACTTATGGTAGATTAATGATGGAGCCAATAGTGAAAATGTGTGTTGTGTGTCTTCAAAAGATGATGAATCTAAGTCCAGTGAGTAGTTACATGGGAAAAGAAATGAAACTTGACCCTTTTATGAATGCTACACACAAGCCAAAACACTTAGTTTAATTATTCAAAATAAATACCTATTCTAAATAACGTGCTTTTCTCAGTTAGAGAATTATATTTTATTAGTGAAATTGTTTTTGGTTTTCTGTCTGGAAGCTAACCTTTGCAACAAGTCTGATTACAGTAATTTTCTTTAATATAAGGTTTGTGGCATTGTTTTATTTTTTCTTGTATTGGGTGGCAATTGTTTCTTCAGCCTTGCCTTACCGATGCTGTTTTGTGGTTCTCTTTTTGTGTAAGATGTTTTGAATCATTCTTTGAAATAGGCAGGGTATAAGTAATGAATAAATCAATCAATGAGGCAAGTTAAACTTCACTTGAAAACTTGAAGCTTGACTGAATTGTCAAAAAGAATTATAGCTCATAGAACAATTCTAGTAATTACACTTTGATGGAATTACAACTGTCCAACATCATCTTGCTAATACATATTACAGGTATAAGTATTACACAGGATGTTTTTTAAAAGTTAACATATGTGTCAGTCTTAAAAGTAACAGTATTGCACTCGCACAAAGAATCTAATTTTCATAAATTTCAGTAATATATATTCAGACAATGGGTAGTTTCTTCTGTAAGAAAAGTAGTCTGAATACTGAAATATCTTGTTCTTATGGAAGGAATATGTAGAAAATATATTGATTTGGAGGTGGTAAGGTTAAAGGCAGGAAACTAGTGTGCACCCTGTTTGTGGTTCTGGGTCTTAGCTTTAGAGTTATTAGATCTATCTACATTGGAATCCCAGTTCTGACAATAATGACTATGTCATCTTAAACTAGTTATCTATGCCTTTCTTATAAATCCATTGCTTTGGGCTCAAGAGATGGCTCAGTAGTTAAGAGCACTGGCTGCTCTTCCAGGGGATCTGAGTTCAATTCACAACACTCACCTTGTAGTACACGGCCATATGTAACTCCAGTTCTAGATATAGAATGCCCTCTTTCGCATCTTCAGCAGCTAGGCACACACATGGTGCACAGAAACCTTGTGGGATAAAACATACATATAAAATAAAAAGTAATTAAAAGACCTCAATTCATGTCAAAATACACATGTCACAGAAACTGAACTCTAGATATAGCTAAGTGTATAAATATTGCACACATTTTGCAGTGTAGTTTTTCTAAATGTTGATGCCTTTGGTGATTATTTTTGACATTTGGCATTTGGACACCTATATGAAGCAGGCAGATTGAATATGCAAAATCTCATATAGAGAGCAGGTGAAAAGCCCAAATGATATGGGGCAAATGAGCAATTCAGAACACTGTGCAGGCTATGAGTTGTGATGGGAACCTGGGGAGTTATAACCTCTGCAACTGTGAAGGCTGTTTCTCTACTGTAATGCACTCCAGTGCTTGCAGACTCTCATTGTTCCTGTTACACCCAACACACATGCCAATAATATATAGAACATCCTACCTACAACATCACAAGAGTTTAGTAACCTTCCCAAATACAGCATCACAACAGTATCTCTAATTGACATTGGAGAGGATGATTTAGAGCCTTGGGTCTTACCTTTTATTAGATGAGGACATTTTCCTCAACACATCCCAGAGAGTATTTTGCCAGGTGAACTCAGAATGCCCAGAAGAAACCATTGATTCAAACTAAAAATTTGTTAGGCAGAAACTGAACCAGATGTCTGCACTGGTGTGGGAAATCTGCATGTATTCACAGCTATGGATGAGGACATTTTGTATCCCTCACTATAGTCGAGCTGGGGATGCTGGCACTTTTAGGTGTCATCATTTTGAGAAAAAGTATTTCTTGTCAGCAAAGTGAACCTGACTGTGTTGCACTCATTTATCTCTTCTTTTGATGCCTACATCTATTGCATTTGATTTTACTCAGCTGTTTCTCTATCACTAGTGACCAGACACACAGTATCAAGATATAAATAAGGGACATTGTCAGGATTTTAACCTTCAGGCAACCCATCCAGTCCATGGAAACTTCTCATAGTGTTTTGTAATATATAGGACAGGGAGAGAAATTGATATCTTTTTTACTCTGATGACACCCCAAGAGCTCATAAGAATTTTATGCCTCTTATATTGGAATTATATAGATTATTTGAGGTTGGGAGTAGAGACCTATAGTCACCCAGTGAGTCAGAATGAATAAAGGCTACAGTCCATCTGAAAACCTCAGTTCTGACAGGAAGATAGAGAAGGTGATGGAGCAAACACATCAACATGTGCAATTTCTTTGTAAGACAGGTAGAGACATGCAAATAACCAAATTAAAAATTCTACAGAAAGATACATCTCAAACACGGAAGTGAAGCCTCCCACACATGCAGGGACCCCTGGAACTGAAGAATGAGTTATTTTGGAGTGAATTTGCTCCATAGCTTATGCACAAAATAACCCATTGCTTGTTCATGTGAGCTGTTTTCACTTTATGAAGCAGTAGAGGGAGAGAGACATTCCTCAGCACTGTAGGCACATTGAAGGCAACAACTGAAACTTCACAGGGGTGACATAGTATGCCGCTTATGCTTTGTGGGCCCGTGATTGTTATCAGAGTTCCAGATATGTACCTTTCAGCATCATCTCTTAATTTATCATGGATTCAGAAACCACAGCCCGGGGTGCTGAGACTGTCACTCATGTGATTACACTGCCACCATGTGGTTTAAAGAGCTCTCTCAATTAAGACATGGCCTCCTAAGGAAAAGGGTATTTTCAAAGCTACTTTAACCATTTGTGGTGTTTATTTATCTTCTGTCACCCTTTAGATAGTTGTATGGAGTAATAAAGGCATACAATTAGTGAGTGGCTATGTGAAGGGGGAGGAGCTGAAAACTAACCCTGCATAATTCTTCAGGGATCCACCTTCTACCCAGGGAGTACCTGACACCTTTGCTGGCAAGAGCGCCATGTCCACCTTGCCAGCAGAGTTCAGCTATTGCCTAGATAGAATATCAGAATTTTCCTATAAATCTGCAGACAGGTGTTCCTCAAGCTGACACTCCCAAATCAGAAGCAGCTACAGCATCACCCAAGGATTCACTGGACCAGTGGTCCAGTGGTCCTCAACCCTCAACCTTCCTAATGCTGCAACCCTTTGATACAACTCCTCATGCTGTTGTGACCCCCCCAATGATAATATTCTTTTGTTTCTACTTCATAGCTGCAATTTTGCTACTGTCATGAATCATGTAAATATACACATTTTCTGATCATCTTAGGTTTTCCCTATGAAAGGATCGTTTGACCCTTAAAAGGGTCTTGACCTACAGATGGAGAACCACTGAATTAGATATGCAAACTTTTAAGCTCTACCTCAAGTACTGAGTGAAAAACTCTGGAGAAAGAGACCAGAAATCCAGATTTCAAAACTTATTGGATCTGGGGGAAAATGGTTAGTTGGTAAAATGTTTGCCTTGTAAACACAAGGATCTGAGTTCAATCCCCAGAGCCAGTGTGAAGGCTAGGAATGGTGGTGCATGCTAACTATCACAGTGCTGGGAGGGGGAGGCAGGCAGGTTTCCTGGGGCTTGCTGCCTTGCAAGGCTAGCCTCCTCAGTGACTTCTAGGCAGTGAGAGACCCTGCCTCAGGAAACAAGGTGGACAGTGTTTGTGGAACAACACATACACCTGCACCTACAGGCATTCACATACACATACACACACATTAGCACACACACATTAGCACATACACATTAGCACACACACATTAGCTTACAACTTTTATACAATTCTAATGGCCCAATGTATAAACAATTGTCTCTTCTGGAGTGTATTGACAGTTTACATTGTAGGGAGTATTAAATGTAACCACCTACTCCAGAGTCCCTACAAAAGGCTACACAGACATGGAAGGCAGGAGTCCTTGAGCTTTTTATCAGGTTGGCCATTCAGTGCCAGGAAAGTCTTCCTGAGGAAGAAGCAGAACATAGAACAAGTGCCCATAGCCATCATCGACCAGGGCATTCTTTCCCTCTCTAAATCTACCTGAAGCTGCAGTGGCCAACCTGGCATAACTCTTTCAACATTTTGGGATCAGTGGAGCATAAGTCAAGTATGAGTGGGTATTGTGGAATTAGGCTGTTGTTTAGACACTGAAATCACTGTTTCTGAAGGGAACCAAAAAAATGTAAAAGACTCTGGAAGCTCTGATAATGTCAGGGAAAGTGGGATGGTATGAATGGGCAAACCCCTTAACCTACATCTTAACTCAATCTTAACATGCAGCAAAATTGCCCATGTTAGAAGAATTTCTGATGTCTCCAAAAGTAAAGAGACAAACCATGGAACATGCTATTAATTGTGTGAGTTCAATAAGCATATACTGAATTAAAGAAATGGAGAGTCATTGCTATTTAAGTCTGTCCATCGAATCGGAACTGTACTTCTTCGGATACACAGCGAGTGAAAGTCATGGGTAAACTACAGCACCCCATTAATGGTGCAAGGCTTCTGGTGAAGCAATTTTTACTAACATATTTTCATGTCTCTGTGTAAATATATGTTTGCAAAGCATGGAAATTCAGCACCACATCACAGAGGGAAATAATTTTCCTTAGCAATGAACTTGCTTTAAATGCAGCTGGAGTGAAGAATTCAAAGGCACATGCCCAAAGTGTCATACGGGAAAAAGAAAATGCCCCATCGTTCCAATGTGGTGTGTTGGTTACTGTTTTGTGACAAAATAAACTTAAGGAAGGAAGGTTTGTTCTGATCACAGTCTGAGGATGTGGTCCTATATGGTGGGGAGAGCACGGGGGCAGGGTGTGATGTAGCTAGCCACATTGCATCTGCAGACAAGAAGCAGAGGAGGACAAGTGCTTTTGTTCAGATCTGTTTTATTTCTGTCTGGGACCCCAGGTCATGCAATGCTGGAGGAAGCTAATGAAAGGTGGGTCTCCTGCCTCACAGCCATATGGGGCATGGTTTGTCACCTAGATGACTGTAATGCCGGACAATGTGACTTCAATATGAACCACTGCGTGTGAAACAAACCTTCACATTTTAAAATCTTACAAACACAACATAGGATAAAAATACTAAGGCTATATACAAACTTCTTATCATATTGTGTATTCTTAGTGACATATAAAATAGTAACTGCAAAACAACAAATTCTAAGTCTGAAAGTACTAGACCCAGGTGTAAATTTAAGGTACTTATTTGTAGCAAAAGATCATTAATTACTTTTTATCCATGACTACGAAAGTAATGTTTAGTAAGTAGCTGATGTGCTGATAGAGTAAGTATCCCTCAGGAGATTACTCTTTGCTAAGCCTATTTTCTGTGGTTAGACCCTCACCATCCCAGCTACACTCAGGAATCAAAAGGACTGTCTCACAGGACTTTAAGAACAAATCAGCTCTTGTTCCATTCTTTGTTTTCTCTGAGACTTCTTTTTTCTTGTACATTTTTTAGGGAGGTGCTCTGCCACTGAGTCGCACCCAGGTATCTTATACTTTTGTAGAGATCTTATATCATCTTACAAAGTAACAGGATTTTAAAGGACATTTCTATATACTCTTAGTATTGTATTTTGTTTGACCCTCCCCTATTCCTGCTGTCCCCCATCTCCCTGCTCCCTATGCCTGTGTACATCTGTCCACACATATCATCTTTCAATGTCAAGTAGCAGGTGTTCTGTTACTGCTACTACACTCTTCTCAGGCCTCCACTGTACACACTCACTCGCACTTAACTACAAACATATGAAGTAGAAGTTATGAGCAAGAACACGCTGTGCTTGTCTTCCTCTGCCGCTCTGGAGTATATTCCCAGAAGACCCTATTCCCTTCTGCAGAGATACTTGCTCATCCGTGTTTATTGCTGCTCTATTTGTAATAGCTAATCAGCACAAATGTCCATAAACTTATAAATGCATAATGAAAATATGGTACATATATGCCATGGAATTTTATTGAATCATAAAGAAAAAAATGAAATTCTCAGGAATATTGATGGAACTAGACATTTATATTATTATATGATATTTATTATATAATTCAG